GGAGTTTCGCTGCGATGGCGGGCGGGCGCCAGCACGCGGCGCCAGCGCCCCGCAGCGGCTGCCGAGGGTTTGGCAATTGCCCTTCTAAACCCTAAACCCTAAACCCTAGGAAGTAACAAACCCTAGTAAACCCTAATAAACCCTAAACCCTAAACCCTACCTCAGCGTGCCTGCGCCTATTAACTCGAAAGCCCTCTGTCAGGGGACACCCTGAGACGACCACCGCAACTCAAAGCAGCAGCGGCTGGTGAAAGCAGCAGCAGCAGCAGCAACAACAGCAGCAGCAGCAGCGCAGCAGCAGCAACAGCAACAGCAACAACACCAGCAGCAACAGCAGCAACAACAACGGCAACAGCAGCAACAGCAACAACAGAAGCAACAACAACAGCAGCAACAACAGCAGCAGCAGCAGCAGCAGCAGCAGCAGCAGCAGCACCTTTTTTGTCCAAGTGTTCCCTTTCTAAGTAAAACTTCATTCGCTCAAACCACTCTTTCCAAACAGCTCCAGCAAAGCCAGAGTCATATATCCTCAAGCAGCGACGCCCGGGGCTGCAGGCTCAAAACCTAAACCCTAAACCCTAAACCCTAAACCGTAAACCCTAGGGAGCGGGCCGCCGGCGCTTCAAGCTGCAGGCCAGGCCCGCGGGTTTACGGCCTTCTTCAGCTGCTGCGGCACTCGGCCTTGCGGCAGAGATCGGGGGCTTCAAATCGAGGGTTTAGGGTTTAGGGTTTAGGGTTTACCGGAAGTCAACAACCCCTAGGGCCCAGTGCTGCTGCTCCTTGTGGTGTACAGGCAGCAGCAGCAAGTCGCGCGAGAACAAATCTACTTTCTTTGTCCATCTCTGAAACCACAAACCCTAAACCCTAAACCCTAAACCCTTGCCCGCTGCTCATATTAGGGTTTAGGGTTTAGGGTTTAGGGTTTAGCTTACGCTGACGCCCTCGAAAGAAGCCACTTTTAGCCTTTCATCGAAAAAGGAGTTAAAGAAGTGACACTTGGGAACCCTGAGCGCAAACCCTAAACCCTAAACCCTAAGCCCTACGTTGGATATTCACCGGAATCCCCCTGCAACACGCGGCGGCCGAGACTAGGGTTTAGGTCTAGGGTTTAGGGTTTAGGGTTTAGAGCTAGGGTTTAGGCTGGGGTCTTCCTTACATGTCACCCCGGGCCAAAGCCTCATCATTGCGTCTCTGCAGTGCAGCAAACCCTAAACCCTAAACCCTAAACCCTAAGCCCTGAAGAGTACGCGGCACAGGAGGCAGGTAGGGTTTAGGGTTTAGGGTTTAGGGTTTTCACCTGGAGAAGGGCAAAGAAGAAGTTTATCACCTCGTCGTTTAGTTTGCGGCCGATGCGCAGCAGACCCATGGACTCCCTGAGCACCCAAACCCTAAACCCTAAACCCTAAACCCTAAACCCTTAACCGTAAACCCTAAACCCTCCGCCGCGGGCCACCCGCTCCAGCGCCTGGAGCCTCCGAGCGCTTCAAATTCTAAACCCTAAACCCCAAAGGATGTTTGAAAACCCTTAGGGTTTTGCAGTTCAGAGCTTGTTGCCCAGCACTAGGGTTTAGGGTTTAGGGTTTAGGGTTTACGGAGAGAGCAGCGGCGTGGAGAGGTGGCGGTGTTGAATTGCACTGGCAATAAAAGCAGCAGCTTCCCGTCTGTCGTCTGCAGGCCCGCAGCAAGGGTTTAGGGTTTAGGGTTTGCAGCTCTAGGGTTTAGGGTTTAGGGTTTGCAGCTCTAGGGTTTAGGGTTTTGGCGAGGGTTTGGACTTGCCTTGGTTCATGAAGAATGGCAGCCGAAAAGGATTGACAGGCAGCCTCTCAGAATCATCAGATTCCAAAAATCTGCTGCTGCTGCTGCTGCTGCTGCTGCTGCTGAGCCTGAAATGTGCTGCAGTTGCTGCTGCTGCTGGTTGGTCCCGAAGCCTCAAGACACTGGAGGGGGGCCTGAAGTCTGCTGCTGCTGCTGCTGCTGCTGCTGCTGCTGCTGCACGAGGTGCTGCTGCTGTGTCTTCTTCTGCTGCGACAAGAGCGGAAAGCGCTGCTGCTGCTGCTGCTGCTGCTCGGCGCCGGGGGCGCTGCCAGTGCTCCACCCAGTCCTCCTTAACGCAAACCCTAAACCCTAAACCCTAAACCCTAAGCCCTAAACCCTACCGTAAACCCTAGCGCAAGCCTCTACCTTAGAGCCGCACAGGAATTGAAAGCAACGTGAGGATTCTAAGCGTCTTTTTGGGGTTTTGGATCTAGGGTTTAGGGTTTAGGGTTTAGGGTTTAGGGTTTCGTACGTCACTGCTTTCTAGTTCAATTACTTCGACAGGCTTGTCATCGTCATCAGCAGCACTGCCAGGTGCTGCTGCTGCTGCTGCTTCTGGTGTATCTGCTGCAGTTGCTGCTGCTGCTTCTGGTGCGTCTGCTGCAGTTGCTGCTGCTGCTTCTGGTGCTGCTACTACTTCAGCTGCAGGTGCTGCTGCTGCTGCAGAAAGTCCCGCCGTTGCCCCTCCCTGCTGTGCTGCTGCTGCTGCAGCAGTTGCCGCTGCCGTTGGCGCTGCTGCTGCTGCTGCTGCTGCTGCCGGATGGTCACCGGTTAATGCCTGGCAGCAGAAAATGGAGGCAGGTGCTGCTGCAGCAGCAGCAGCAGCAGCAATATCCGTATCCCCATCTCGCAGTGATGTTGCTGTGTCTGTCGCTGCTGCACTATTTGCTGCTGCTGCTGCTGCTGCTGCTCCTGGAAGCAACCCTAAGCAATTGTCGCCGACCACAGCATCAGGAGCGGCAGCAGCAGAAGCTGCTGCTGCTGCTTCAGTTGTGCTGCTACGGCCAGCAACATTTGCTGCTGCCGTTGCTGCTTGCAGCGTGTTGTTCCTGCGTAGAGCTGACGCAGCAGCAGCAGTAGCAGCAGGAGAAACAGCAGCAGCAGCAGCAGCAGGGGGTGCTACCCCGCCCTCTAATAATTCGCCATTCTTGAGAGGCGCGGCTGATCCTGCTGCTGCTGTTGCTGCTGCTGTTGTTGCTGCTGCTGCTGTTGTTGCTGCTGTTGTTGCTGCTGCTGCTGTTGTTGCTGCTGCTGCTCTAGAGTGTAGGGGAGCGGGCTGGGAGCAGGGCTCTGTTGCTGCTTCCGTCGCATCTGGTGCAGCTGCTGCTGCTGTTGTCGCGTCTGCTGCTGCTGCAACTGCTGCTGCTGCTGCTGCTGCGCGTTTCCTGGTGGGGTCTGCCTCACTCTGCGGAGAGAGGCGCTTCTTCAAGTGTTGTTGTTGCTGCTGCTGCTGCTGTTGCAGCTGCAGCTGCTGCTGCTGTTGCAGCTGCAGCTGCTGCTGCAGCAGCAGCTGCTGCTGCTCCGCGTCGGGCTTGGTGAGTCGGCTGCAAGCTCGGGTGTCTGTACACCCGGAGGCTTGCTCCTCCTCCATTTAACCGTTGGAGCGAGGCCGTATCACTGATCACCAAACCCTAAACCCTAAACCCTAAACCCTAAACCCTTGAAATTTGCTTCTGCTTCTTAGAAGAGCCCGCTAGACAGGAGCAGCTGCATGCAGCCCGAAGCTGCGGCTGCGCCTCCAGCAGCCACTTTTGCTTCAAAAGCATTTTTAATAAATTGAAATATATTTATTTTAATTTTAAAATTAAAAATTTAATTTAATTTAATCAAAAATAATAAAATGAGAACGCGACCAGCCCCTTAACCCTCAGCCTAAGCTTTGGCTAGCCACCCACCAGACTCGCAGCAGCAGCCGCAGGTCTTGTCTTGAAACCCTAAACCCTAAACCCCAAATCCTAAACCCTAAACCCTAAACCCTGGTCTAAACCCTAGGAGCACCTAGTACAAGCCATATCCTAAACCCTCGCCTAGCTCAAAGCCTAGCGGAAAGCCCAGCCAGCGCGCTAGCCTAGCCTAAACCCTAGTCTAAACTCTAAACCCTAAACCCCAAAACTCTAAACCCTAAACCCTAAACCCTAAGTCACAATCCAAACTGAGGGGCCTCTGGGGGCCCCTACTGAGGGCTTAAAGGGCCTCTGGCGGTCCTCTAAAAGGGCACCTTGAGGCCCTAGGGTTTAGGGTTTAGGGTTTGGCGTTAAGGGCCCTTAAAGGCTCTTAGCTGCTGCAGCAGCCTCCAGTCTACACATCTGATCCTTAACCCTAAACCATAAACCCTAAACCCTAAACCCTAGCTGGGGTTTCAAGATCCGATTAGCAGCAGAGGACCAGCATGGCTGCCATGGGGTCCTTAGCCTCTCGATGTTACACAAGGCCCCAAGCTGCTGCTGCTGCTGCTGCAGTTGCTGCTGTTGCTGCTGCGGTTGCTGCTGCTGCTGCAGTCGCTGCTGGTGCTACAAAAAGGCCGTTTGCGCTGCTTTGTTGTTGTGCCTTGCTTTTACGTGGCCTGCAGCTAAACCCTAAACCCTAAACCCTAAACCCTAGTTCCTGAGGCTTAGAGTGGAATTGCTTAATCTCGTGAGCTCCAAACCCTATC